TTTGATTTGTGTCTATATAGTGTATGTGACAGTTTACTTTTATCTACGTTCCATTGTTATTCATTTATTGTGTTACTTGTGCAGTGAAGGTTTATTGTAAACAATTTTTCATTTATTTGTTTATGTTTCTTGTTATTCTTGGTACCAAGCCACCTTTACTATGTCTTATACACAAAGCAGGGACATAGCAGTATTGCTTCTAAGATATAGTTATAATTGTTTTAATCATTGAACTACTCAAATGAATTCTATCACTACACACAATAATAATCTACACACAATACAAATGTTTCTTTACTTGACATAAATCTCATACAATTGAACTGGAGTATCTTCATTGCTCCATACCTCATCCCCACACACCCTCAGTTCAATGTAATCAGTAATGGTAGCATTACCATAATCTCTGAAGAACCATGGAAGACCAGTACTATTACAAAAAGGAGCTTCTACTGAAAGACAGTTATTCCCATCCCACAATGGATCACCAGTGTATACTTCAGTAAGGGAAGGATCACTGTTTGTACCAGACTCACAATAGTAGTTCTCTCCTACAAATGATGGAACTGTATTAGTATTCGTTGCTCCAGTATTACAAGGACAGGTAGAACCTCCATTGATATTTGACTGATGCCCAGCTATATAAGACCAGACATGTTGACGAGGTGACCCACGTGTGATACTGACTCCATCAATATAAACACAATTAATATCATTGTTGTTAGTGTTGACTCCATCAGTTGTTCCCTTCTGATATCCAACTACTTTACCACATATTTGACTATAACTGATACCATTTGTTTGGAATGCATTAGAACTACAACCAGCAGAATTACTCTCTCTCCTACAAAAGTCTAATGCCTCCAGTCATCAATTCCTCAAGTCCAGAGGAACAATTCTGGGAACTATTAGTCATATCAAGAGAAGCTATTCTTGTCCATCCTCCTTCTTGTCCACACAGCTCTCCCATATTGCAGTATGTATTGCGACTGTTAATATAATAGTAACCAGAAGGACTGTTGGGATGAGCTGCTTTAAAATCTTTACAAGAAACAAGTTGAATAGCAGAATTGAACAAAGAGGATCTATTCTGTATTACTAGTAATTCATTGAATAAGTTGTCTAATTTATTCTGTATCAGTGAGATGTTACTGTTAATAGCAGTATTACCACTATTAGTGAGGACAGCATTGTTGCTGCTTGCAGCATCTTTTGATATTAAGTTAAGTACAAGTATAGCTACCAATAGGAATATTATGATCACCAGTAGAATTATTATTGCAGCAAATGACTTCTTTCCTACAGTATACTGCACTGGTTGTTGAGGAGGTTTGGTATCCTTAACATTAGCTTTTGGTAGCTGATAATCTAATGAATATATCATACATTAGTTTTAATAATAAATTACTTGTATGGTACATACCTGAGTAGTCATGAAGATCTGAGTACATTGCTTCTTCAGTACTAGTATCAGTCTTTACTACTGGTTCATAGGATGTGTTTTGTGTTAGTGTGAAATCCTCAGCTTCACTTTGAAAACTTGTTGGCATAGTCTTGTTTTCCATCTCTCAATTTAAGAGTACTTTTCCTATAGCTACTTTTCTTATTACGACTATCCTTATATATAGACATAGATGATATTTATGTTGAATTTGAATCTTTGCTTTCATTATAGATAGCCTGGCAAGGTTGTGTTTTTATAACTTATAACATCTCTGCTTTCACAAGATTATCACACGATGTTTGTTTACACAATAATAAATTTATTTTGTGTTTGTACTAGTGACAATGTTCTATAAAACTAACAACTAAACATAAACAATGCACTATTTATAATTATTAATTTTTTTTTTACTTGACATAAATCTCATACAATTGAACTGGAGTATCTTCATTGGTCCATTCCTCATCCCCACACACCCTCAGTTCAATGTAATCAGTAATGGTAGCATTACCATAATCTCTGAAGAACCATGGAAGATCAGCACTTGTACAACAAGGAGCTTCTTTTGAAAGGCAGTTATTTCCATCCCACAATGGATCAGTAGTGTATATTTGACTTTTTGAAGGATCACTGTCTGTACCTGACTCACAATAGTAGTGCTCTCCTACAAATGATGGAACTGCATTATTTGCTCCAGTATTGCAAGGACAGGCAGAATTTCCATCGGTATTTGATTTATACCCAGCTATATAAGACCAGACATGCTGACGAGGTGACCCACGTGTGATACTGACTCCATCAATGTAAGTACT